CTGGCACCAATGACCCTGAGGAGGGAGGATACGGCTGCTGCGGCTCCAACGCCTCTTTTATGTAATCGCCTTCCCTTGGTTGTCCAATGTGTGTACATCTCAGATCCTTTGTGCCAATATACCTTGGGAAGAGTGTCTACTGCAACACAAATTTCATTATTAAAAGAAGCATTGTATATACAAGATGTAAGTCCTGACCGGGTGCACAGCCATTTCCCCTGGGAGGGCTTATTCCATTATTCTGTGAGTGTTACTTGTTTATCACAGAAGGTGTTGTCATTGCCTCCTATACAGACTCCCTTACCCACAACACGCTGCATAGTAAGTCCAGGCCATGTTTGATTATGGACATTTAAGTGCAGTATAAGTGGCGTTTACAATTGCCATAAACTGGGAGCACTGGGGTGGGTCTCGTCCTTTGTTTGGGGGGAGTGTGTACTGTTTGTTTCTTTAGTATTGGGAACAGATGATGGTTTGATAAGAACTTGGTTTGGTCCCACACTACTAGTAATAGGTTGCATGGAATATTTAATTGAAAAAGGAATTCCGTCATCACATCCATTTTTGTATAATCTTAATCCCCATATAAGGCCACTCCAGAGGTTTTTAAGTGTTTCTGCTTTTATCTTGTCTTGGTGGAGGGTTATTATTAAAGGCATGCATTTTTTTTAACTGTAATATACTCCCAAGAGGATGATGGGTTCCAATCGGCATCGCCGGTAGTATCACACCCCCAAGATGCACAGTAAAACGAGGAGGTGGCGCCACATTGTGTCCAAGTGTGGGAACTGTGCCCCAGACAGACATAAAAATCTTTTGATCGTAAATTTTGTTTTGCTAATTTAGTTTTGCAATTAGTGTCTGCGGGGTCATCATAAGAGACTGGTTTACCTAAGTCAGTATCAAATAATTCTCCTATAATGTCACATAAATCAGGCTTAAGCATTGGAAACCATGTTCCCTCAGGAGCAGAGTTATTACCTCAAAAACAACCTTTCCAGTGGTAGTTTGGATGACTTGCCAAGTCTGTATTACTGGTGTATGTGGTGATAGTCCGTTGCTCCCAGCATTACCTTGGCATCTACCGAGGTGTAGTATCAGGCAGACAAATAATGGAATCTTCATGATGTTTCTCTTTAAGAGATACCACAAGGCCTTAAAGGCCGGGTCATCATGCTTTCCAACACTGTTTCCATATTGCAAAGTAAGCAAAGGAGAGGAGTCTTCACCCACACGGGCTGCCGCTACTGGGGACACTACTGATGAGACCTTCAGAGTCCACCGGGGAGTTGTCCCAGCCAGGATTCGTCACATGTCTCACTTTCGTTTTCCTGTTCACTGAAGGTCCAAGAAACTGAAAGAGGGCAAAGCTAGAAGGGTTAAGGCGAAGGTAGGGGAGGGCCGACACAACCCAAGATACTCACCTGGACCAATCTGACTACTCCCAAGCGATGTTCTTCTGAGGAGAACTCCGCGCCATGGCTCAGTGGCCTTTTCATTGCCCTTCTTTCTCGGCCACGCGGTGGACCAGTTGCCCTAACCCTCATGCCCTACGTTGGGCGCCAGCTGCAAGGACTCAGGGGCAGTGGCCCTGAACCTCCCAGTAGCCCCTTTCATCCCCCCAACATGGGATAAGCAAGAGAGGGAACCGATAGGATTACTCCTGCCACCCTAGTGGCCAGGAGAGCCCGGGAGGAAGGTGAGTCTGCCGCCCACCTATTCAGCCCCCCAGAGAGACACTCAGACACGGCAGGGGTTCCGTCAAGCAGTTCCGTTTATTTTCACACACGCACCTGCTTTTATAAGCATATGGCAAGGGGATTTCCTAACTTCAACCTATCATCTTAAAGGTCATGTGAACATGCATCTTGCTCTATTGCTTTGCTATTGCAGTCACGCAGTGAGCATGAGCATGGAAATATATTTATCCAATGATTTTAAACTATGTCTTTCCTTGACCACTCGCTGGTGGCTTCCATCAGGTGCCATCTTTATCTCTCCTGTCCAGGAGAATGTTTTCAACAGATTACATATGTGTATGTGGGTGGGGTTGTGGCTAGTTCTCTGCCCCAGGAGGAGGTGTGTGGCCTCAATGCCCCAACACATCAAGATACAAAACTATTCCATTAACACAAAAATTTCCCTCTTGCTACCCCTTTGTAATCACCCCTGACCACCACAAATCTGTCTTCCATCAATATAATTTTATTTCAAGAATGTTACATAAATATAATTATATAATCACAGAGCATATAATCTTTGGGATTAGCTTTTATCACTCAGCATAATTCTCTGGATCCGTCCAAGATGTTTCATGTATCAACTTTCAATTCTATTCTTGCTGAGTAAATTCCATGTATGGATGTGCCACCATTGGTATCACTTCTCCTACTGAGGAACTCTGAAGTTCTTCTGCAGTTTTGACTATTATAAATAAAGCTGATATGAACAATTCTGTGCAGGTTTTAGTATAAACATAAGTTCTTATTTCTCTGGAATAGGTGTCCAGCAATGCAAATTGATGAATTGCACAATAAGTGTATGTTTAATTTTTTAAGAAACTTCCAAAGTTTTTTTCAGAGGGAAATGTACCATTTTATGTTTCCAACAGCAATATATGCGAGGCCCAGTTTCTCCCCATGCTCTCCAATATTTAGTATTGTCATTAATCTTTATTTCAGGTGTTTTAATAGGTGTGTAGTGATATCTCATCATGGCCTAGCACTTAAAGGTGAGTGGTTTGGGACAGCTTTTGAGTGTATGTACTTCATCTGCATATGCTCTTAAGTAAAATATCTCTTCGTGTCTTATTTTTGCTTTTGGGGGGGCCCATTATACAGCATGGATACATAGAAACCAAACTTAAAGTTAAATTTGTTTTTTTCTCCAAATTGCGTTTGTTTTTTAATGATGAGTCTTGAGAGCTCTCTCTATATTCTACATGACTCCTTTGTCAGATATGTACTTTGCAATTTGCAAATATTCTCTGTCAGGATGCAGCTTGTCTTTCCATCCTTTCAAAAGTTTCTTTCAAAGGGCAAAGCATTTTAATTTTGATCAAATCCAATTTATCAATTTTTTTCCTTTTTGGGTTGTGTCTTTGGTGTCCTTTCTAAGACCTCTTTATCAAGACATAGGTTTCAAAGAATTTATCCTATTTTATTCTACAAATTTTTATGTTTTAATATTATGCGTATATGTTTGTTATCCATTTGGGGTTAACTTTCATATGATGTGTGAGGTTTCAGCAGGTGTTTTCCCCATAGATATCCATAGCTCCTGCACCATTGGTTGCGAATAATATCCTTCCTCCGTTGAATTTCTTTCACTTCTTTGTAAAACATTAGTTGAGCATATTTTTACATGTTTACACGTATTCCTGATGGTTCTATTCTGTTCCAGTGATCTGCGTCTATCAGATCAATACCGTGCAACCTCAATTACTGTAACTATGCAACAAAGTCTTGAAATTGGACAGACTGAACTTCCCACTTGAAACTCATTTTATAAAATTCTTTGTTATATTTCTTTGGACTTTGCATGTAAATTTTAGGATAACATTGTGTATATATACAAAAACTTGCTGGGATTTCAACAGGAATTTTGGTAAATATGTATATAATTTGCAGATTTGATATGTTTACTATGTGATGACTCCAATCCATAAACACAGTGTGTCTCTTCATTCATTTAGATCTTTCTTGATATCTTTCTTCAGCATTTTATGGTTTTCAGCAGACAAGTCGCGTACAGATTTCATTCGATTTACACCTAAGTATTTTTTGTCACTGGATTTTAAATGATATTGTAGTTTTCAGTTTGGTTTCTATGTATCCATGCTAGCACATAGAAATACAATGTTTTTCTTGCAGTGTTGATCTTGTGTCCTGCAACCTTGTTGAACTCACTTCTTAACAGGAGGCTTTTTTTTTTTAGTCAATTCCTTAAAATGATGTAGACAATTCTGTCATCGGCAAATAGGGACAGATTTATTTCTTCCTTTCCCATCTACATGCCTTTTATTTTCTTCTTTTGCATTCTTGCACTGGATAGAATCTGAAGCACTGTTTTGAATAAGAGTGATAATAGGGGCATCCTATCCTGTTCAAGATCTTCAGGGGAAAGCACTTGGACTTTCAATTCCTTGAAATTGGTATGTAGACAATTCTGTCATCTGCAAATAGGGACAGATTTATTTCTTCCTTTCCCATCTACATGCCTTTTATTTTCTTCTTTTGCATTCTTGCACTGGCTAGAATCTGCAGCAGTGTGTTGAATAAGAGTGAAAATAGGGAGGGACATTTTACCTTGTTCAAGATCTTCAGGGGAAAGCACTTGGACTTTCACAATCGAATATGATTGATGTGAGCTATAGGTTTTTAACAGGTGTTTTTATAAGAAATAAATAGTTAACAACAATTATATGTCCCATTTCTGAGATTGGTTCCATGGTCATCACTGGTATTTGTAACTGTCTTTTTCACTCCCCATCTCATATTCCCTCAGCAAGTACCTCAGCTGGTTGTGGAACTTGTCCTGAAGGATCTCGACTAGTGGTTGTCCTGCCTGAATTGATGGTGTAGTTTTCCATTGATTTCAATCACAAGACAAGGTGGTACTAAGAGATGCCCAAGGGATCACCTGCATTTCAGACATACATTCCTTGTCTCCATTGTGGAGCAGCAGCACAACACCCCCTGGTAATCTGGGTCAATAACTCCAGCCAGTACAATAACTCTCTTTTTCCCCTTCGTAATTCAGAAGCATAAGAATCCCAAAGCGGCCACGTTGCATTTTCAACTTCCAGTTTCAGCAATGGAATTATTGTTTGGTCTCTTGGTGGAAGCATTCCTCCCTTTCAGACTAAGATCTGTGGATCAGCAGAGCATTAGGTTGAGGGCATAGGAAGGAAAACTTTTTGCCAGAGGGTCACTAGACGTAATAGACAGTGGTGCCTCTCTCTTTCCACCCCTTGATTCCTGGAGCCATGAATTCTGGATATGGGAGAAACAACGTCATACAGAGACACTGAGAGCATATACAAGCTCCTGGAGAACATTGTACGAGCCCTACCAGGTATTTCCAACTACTTTGCTCTGTAACTGAGATTTTGGAAGGATAGTCCACCATTCTATCAAGCCACCTTCTTTAGGGTTATGGAGAACACAATAAAACGAGTGAATTCCATGAGCATAGCTCTACTGCTGCACTTCACTGCTTGAAGTGAGTTCCTTGATTCGAAAAGAATGATGTCTGGAATACCATGATGTGGATAAGGCATTCCGTAAGTCCACTGGTGGTAATTTTGACTCATCGAAGAAGGGAGGACAAACACATAACCACATTTGATCAATTCCAGTAAGAACAAGCTTCTGTCTCTTCCACGATGGAAGGAGTCCAACATAACCAATCTATCAAAAGGTTGATGATTTATCACTCTGGGCGATGGTGCCATATCAGGGACTCAGTGTGGTCTCCACTTCTGGTAGACTGGGCACTTGCTGGTGGCCATGGGCAGGTTGGCCTTGCAAGTGAAATTTCACGTGGCTGAGCCCATGCACAGCTTTCCTCCCTGCCCCTAGGGCCACATGTTCTCATGAGCTGTTTGGTCAATGACAGGAATGCCTGGGAAAAGAGGCTTCCTGGTACCCTCAGAATGGGTTATCCTACCCATGCTATTTCTAAACTCCCCTGCTGAGGTCACTCTTTGGTGACACAAATACCTTCATGCTTTTTTCGCATTCAGAGAAGGCTACCCATATACCTCTTCCCAGGATTTTCTTGTCACCATCCAGCTATACTTTAATCACAGCCCATACATTGGTTCAGTCATCTTCCCTTACCCACAGTCTCACTTTCCCCAGTTTCAGTGTGAAGTATGCATAAAACAAATGTATTTCACTTTTATCTTTCCTTGTTTTTCTGGTCACCTTGAGTTTGCAATATACATTTACGGCCAATCCAAGTCTTCTTTCAAATAACACTACATCACTTCTCAGTAGTACAAGTACGTCCTCTTTCAAATAACACTACGTCATTTCTCAGTAGTACAAGTACCTGATAACAGAGTATTCTCAACTCCTCCCTCCCGTCCCTTATAACATTGCTGTCATTCACTTCACTTATCCATACACTATAATCACCAAATATATCGCTGCTGTTATTAATTTGAAAAAACTGTTATCTGTTAGATCAATTGAGAATAAGAAAAATAACTGATTTTATTTCACCTTATTGATTTCTTCTCTAATGCGCTTCCTTTCTTTATGGTGATCATAGTTTCTGATCTA